CCAGCAGTGTTTGACAAGTCAAGCCCCTTTTCATGAAAATGAATGTGGAAGACAATCGTTCATTCCCTCTGAGTAAACGGAGAGAAGTATTAACGTCACCTCAGGTATCCACAACATCGTCTTTCTTCCTTTAAAGTTGCGGTGAAAAAGACTGTGTTTTGTTTTTACTCCACCATACTGACTACGTCGGCTAAATCCGCTGTTAGATTATTAGCTGGATTACACTAGCTTCACATCGGCTGGCTAAAGCCTGTAAATGCAACAAGAACAGCAGAAACGTGTTCAATCACGCTGAACACACTTTGAAACCGCAGCGCGAGAGCTTCGAATAAACAGACCGTTATCGTTCGTAGTGTGGACGCAAATATAGTTATTGTTATCGTTATCGGCCCTCAAGAATAGAATTGAGTTAGAATAGTTTGTGATTATAAACGCAACAAGGCTGTGGAATTGCTGAGTTTACTGTACCAGTTTGGTGTGAATATATTTAATGTCCCAGACTAGTCCTATTTAGCCACTTGTTAGCAATCACCTTTTTTTCTGAAGTATTTTATATCATAGAATGAACCTGAAAATATCTTGTTCATCACACATTTCAGCTATTTAACCAAAAACCGATTAAAAAAATAAACTGACTCCAGGACAAAGGATCTGGAAGTGCTAAAATGCGAACTCGTTTTTTTAGGTTTTGGACTACAAAAAAATATGACACTCATGCTTAGCATCACTCTATAGCAAATGGTCATGCAGAGCTTCATCAGAAGCAGAAATCAAGCTAATGTTAACTAATGAACCTTATTGAAAGTGTTACTTATTTTATTTTTAGTCGGCTAGTGACTATAATCACTGAAAACACTATGTTTTATGAGGAACATTCTTTGCTCGCTTTCTGTATATTTACAAATTCTGTAAATGTACAGTACAGCTTCCTCTATTGCTTTCACTCCCCAAAGAATGTGTTGATGGAAAGTCAAACAAACCGACGAAAAAACTAATCTGAAAGTGTTTCAAGCAAAGGTATTCTTGTAAAAACGATTAATTCAGTCCCAAGTCTTGTGCTCCAGGCGACAATGATGTCACATGTCCACTGGCAGAGTTAATGACTGAAATCCAATTAAACGTGTAGTTGCTGCCAAGAGTGTGTGATAAACCAGGACAAGGGCCAAACAAACAAACAAACAGCAAACAATGAGCTCATCGGGCAGGCCGAATCCAACCTGATGTCATTCTTCAACCTAAATGGGAAGTTTTCCACCAATGTTACACATCTGTTACACGTGGCATGCAGTTTTGAAGCTGGTAAGGCTGTTTGTGGAGTTGCTTAATCAGATCTTCAGAGAGTTAAAGTATTTTATTGTGGCTGTGTCTGAAGAAAGTTTGTGTTCTTATTTCTCTTTCTTTCAGTGCTTGTCAACAGCGGAATATTTGGAGAACGTTCGTATGACAAAACTCTGTTAGCTGTGTATATGCTGCTGCATCCTCAAATATCACGTGCATATCTACACGCCATTTGACAAATTGAAATGCATGATTTCAAAATACCTGCAAAGGTATAGTGATAGCAAAGAGTCTTTAACTCAACAAGTGCTGGGTACGTTAAACGTGGCACGCAGAGTTTTGCTCTTCTTTCCAGTGAGTGACGGTGAAAATGCGAGGCTAGACGAACTAACCTGACGTGTGATTGCACCCGATACACAAACCCTGCGAGCTTCCCCTCAGAACGCCATGCTAACCACTTCCACATCTCCCAAAGCATTCCTGCGGTTGGGAACGGGCTCCACATCTAAAGACTCTGCTGTGGGCCAGGAGATGGCCTTCCCAAAACAGGACTTAGAGCAGAGCCTCTTCCACAGCCCCATAATCCAGTCCAGACCACAGCATTGTTCACATTTCACTGGTCTCTGCTAGCACTCAACAATACAGGAGCACTGCTGGATATGAGGCGGGCACACACTGTGCGATTTTGGCCGTCTGACACAAATTTTGCAAATCCTAAAGATTTCTCTGATCCTTGGCTAAGATAAGTGTGGCATTAATGATAACTGGGATCTTAAAGTGTGACATTAATGATGACTGAGATCTTACAGTGTGACATTAATGATGACTGAGATCTTACAGTGTGACATTAATGATAACTGAGATCTTACAGTGTGACATTAATGATAACTGAGATCTTACAGTGTGACGTTAATGATGACTGAGATCTTACAGTGTGACATTAATGATGACTGAGATCTTACAGTGTGACATTAATGATAACTGAGATCTTACAGTGTGACATTAATGATGACTGATATCTTACAGTGTGACATTAATGATGACTGAGATCTTAAAGTGTGACATTAATGATAACTGAGATCTTACAGTGTGACATTAATGATGACTGATATCTTACAGTGTGACATTAATGATGACTGAGATCTTACAGTGTGACATTAATGATGACTGAGATCTTACAGTGTGACATTAATGATGACTGATATCTTACAGTGTGACATTAATGATGACTGATATCTTACAGTGTGACATTAATGATGACTGAGATCTTACAGTGTGACATTAATGATGACTGAGATCTTACAGTGTGACATTAATGATGACTGATATCTTACAGTGTGACATTAATGATGACTGATATCTTACAGTGTGACATTAATGATGACTGATATCTTACAGTGTGACATTAATGATGACTGAGATCTTACAGTGTGACATTAATGATGACTGAGATCTTACAGTGTGACATTAATGATGACTGATATCTTACAGTGTGACATTAATGATAACTGAGATCTTACAGTGTGACATTAATGATGACTGATATCTTACAGTGTGACATTAATGATGACTGATATCTTACAGTGTGACATTAATGATGACTGATATCTTACAGTGTGACATTAATGATGACTGATATCTTACAGTGTGACATTAATGATAACTGAGATCTTACAGTGTGACATTAATGATAACTGAGATCTTACAGTGTGACGTTAATGATGACTGAGATCTTACAGTGTGACGTTAATGATGACTGAGATCTTACAGTGTGACATTAATGATGACTGGGATCTTACAGTGTGACATTAATGATGACTGATATCTTACAGTGTGACATTAATGATATCTGAGCTCTTACAGTGTGACATTAATGATGACTGAGATCTTACAGTGTGACATTAATGATGACTGAGATCTTACAGTGTGACATTAATGATAACTGAGATCTTACAGTGTGACATTAATGATGACTGAGATCTTACAGTGTGACATTAATGATGACTGAGATCTTACAGTGTGACATTAATGATGACTGAGATCTTACAGTGTGACATTAATGATAACTGAGATCTTACAGTGTGACATTAATGATGACTGAGATCTTACAGTGTGACGTTAATGATGACTGAGATCTTACAGTGTGACATTAATGATAACTGAGATCTTACAGTGTGACATTAATGATGACTGAGATCTTACAGTGTGACATTAATGATATCTGAGCTCTTACAGTGTGACATTAATGATGACTGAGATCTTAAAGTGTGACGTTAATGATTACTGAGATCTTACAGTGTGACATTAATGATGACAGAGATCTTACAGTGTGACATTAATGATGACTGAGATCTTAAAGTGTGACATTAATGATAACTGAGCTCTTACAGTGTGACATTAATGATGACTGAGATCTTACAGTGCGACATTAATGATAACTGAGATCTTACAGTGTGACATTAATGACTGAGATCTTACAGTGTGACATTAATGATGACTGAGATCTTACAGTGTGACATTAATGATATCTCAGCTCTTACAGTGTGACGTTAATGATGACTGAGATCTTACAGTGTGACATTAATGATGACTGAGATATTACAGTGTGACATTAATGATGACAGAGATCTTACAGTGTGACATTAATGATGACTGAGATCTTAAAGTGTGACATTAATGATAACTGAGCTCTTACAGTGTGACATTAATGATGACTGAGATCTTACAGTGCGACATTAATGATAACTGAGATCTTACAGTGTGACATTAATGACTGAGATCTTACAGTGTGACATTAATGATGACTGAGATCTTACAGTGTGACATTAATGATATCTCAGCTCTTACAGTGTGACGTTAATGATGACTGAGATCTTACAGTGTGACATTAATGATGACTGAGCTCTTACAGTGTGACATTAATGATGACTGAGATCTTACAGTGTGACATTAATGATATCTCAGCTCTTACAGTGTGACGTTAATGATGACTGAGATCTTACAGTGTGACATTAATGATGACTGAGATCTTACAGTGTGACATTAATGATGACTGAGATATTACAGTGTGACATTAATGATATCTGAGCTCTTACAGTGTGACATTAATGATGACTGAGATCTTACAGTGTGACATTAATGATGACTGAGCTCTTACAGTGTGACATTAATGATGACTGAGATCTTACAGTGTGACATTAATGATATCTCAGCTCTTACAGTGTGACATTAATGATGACTGAGATCTTACAGTGTGACATTAATGATGACTGAGATCTTAAAGTGTGACGTTAATGATGACTGAGATCTTACAGTGTGACATTAATGATAACTGAGATCTTACAGTCACACTGTACGATCTCAGATATCATTATTATTAGTTTGTGTAATTAAAATTTGAAAGAACTTCTTTCTACATTGATACACAACAAAATGCAACAAAATACAACAAGAAAACAACAAAGCTGAATTTTAAGCAACATTATTCCAGTTTTCAGTGTCACATGACCCTTCAGAAATCACTCTAATACGATGATTTGATGCTCAAGAAACATTTCTCATTATTATTATGTGGAAAACAGTTATGTACATTTTTATGTCAGGATTTTTTGATGAATAGAAAGTTTCGAAAGAACAGCAGAACAATTTTACTTGAAAAAAAAAAAAGTTTGAATAGTAGTGTTTAAAAAGAAGACTGTCATAATAACTCTGGCAGGCTATACCTGAGTGAGTCCTCCATCTTGCTGATCTTCCTCTTGCTATCAACCCGTTCCTTCTCCAGCTGGGCCTGAAGCGTCTGCAACTGGGACAGGACAGCAGAAGTGTCAATCACTCGACAGCACAACTCAACAGAGCTGATGTGATTTAGGAAAGGTCAGAGGTCGTGTGCTGGCCTGCAGGTGTATATATATATATATACGGCCTGTGCTTTGCAGATGTGCCCTTGACATAGGTCCTGCTTTATAACCGGACCGGCCCTTTGAAGACGGCACCAGGTGTCTGAGGCTGATCTTAAAAATTACCTTCACCTGATTGTGTCGGGACGATTATTAAAGCGGCCCTTTTTATGACAGTTCTGGGGCTTTGAAGAAAGACGTTTGAAAGGGAGCAGCTCCTACCAAAGCTCATAATTAGTGGGGCAATCAGGTCGGGTCTATTACTGTCTCGTTACACTCCCCTTTCATTTGGGGAAACACTTGACAGATACCAACTTGGTCCTGTTTCCACCTGGCCGTTTTAGTGGTCTGATCACATATGCAAATCACGGACCCTGGTTGGTTACCCACATTTTTCAATGTTCATTTTTGGGTGAATTATCCCTTTAACACCAGGTGGAAACAGGGCCCTTGTAACAAGCACTCGATTTTACAGCCTCAAATCTTCCCTTCATCAAAGTGAACTGGGGCAATTGAGAGCAGAGGAAATGCTTTTATGTCTAACTAAAACGGCCTGCTTTGGTTTATACTGCTTCTGAGACTGGTGGTGATTATGAAGACTGGTCAGTCTCTTAAACCGATGCTTTTCAAGTTCATTATAATTGCTTCAATATAATAACTAGGGCTTTAAACTTATCAAATTTGGTGTGAATAATCAAAAGTTTAATATAGTTTAACCCCCTGGCTCCAATGAAAGTTTTTTTTTTTTTTTTTTTCCCCAATCAGGCACCTCACCTCACTAAACCACACTAACTAGTCTGCATGTTTCTTTATAGTCCATGACTCTTGCATTGATATTTCTTGATACTGTATAATGACTAGGCTGCCCTAGGTGTCTTTGTTTCCACTGTATTTTCAATTTTGACATTTTTAGGTCAAACCGTTGTTGTCTGTCAGTCATATAATGGAGTTTTAGGGGGTCCACCTCAAAGAGCATGCACAGAGAAGACAAAATTAAACATGATTTAATGACTCGTGAATGTAAGTACACACTGATGGCCTAAGACACGAAACGAGCGGTTTGTGTGAGAAAACGAACAGTATTTATAACGTTTTTACCTCTTGTTAACAGCTACGTGCACTGATCTGAATCAGATGTCCACCGCTCGTTTCGTGTCTTAGGCCATCAGTGTGTACTTACATTTACGAGTCATTAAATCATGTTTAATTTTGACTTCTCTGTGCATGCTCTTTGAGGTGGACCCCCTAAAACTCCATTTTATGACTGACAGACAACACCGGTTTGACTGAAAAATGTCAAAATTAAAAATACTGTCGAAACAAAGACACCTACATCTTGAATCCCCTTGAGGTAAGCTAAAACATATCAAAAATGTATTTCAAAGTGAACTATCCCTTTAAATAAGCTATATTATATTATTAATAATATTGTACAGAGTTTGTGATTAAAATAATTACCTTTTTGACAGTGCTGTTTTGCAGATCTGTTATCTCTTGCTGCATCTTATTCTCTTGGTCCTGAACAAATCAAAACAAAACAAAACAAATCAATTCAATTAAATTCAAATTTAATTTAAGCAAAGCAAAGCAAAACATAACTAAGCAAAGCAAACAAAAACAATCAAAGCAAACAAAATCAAAAAAGGAAAGTAAATGAAAACCAAGAAAGCAAAGCAAAGCAAAACAAGTGTAATAAAACAAAACAAACAAACAAAACAAAAACAAAGCATTAGAAAGAAAAGCTAAATAAAACAAAACAAATCAATTAAATTAAATTCAAATTTAATTTAAACAAAGCAAACAAAAGCAAAGCAAACAAAAACAAAAAGCAAAGTAAATGATACCCAAGCAAAGCAAACAAAAACAAAAAGCATAAGGAAGCAAAACAAAACAAAACAAAACATATCAATTCAATTAAATTCAAATTTAATTTAATCAAAGCAAAACAAAACTAAGCAAATCAAACAAAAACAAAGCAAAAAAAAAAACAAACAAACCGCAAAGTAAATGAACTAAGCAAAGCAAACAAAAAATGAAAAGCTTAAGGAAGCAAAACAAAACAAAACAAATCAATTAAATTCAAATCTAATTTAAACAAAGCAAAGCAAACAGAGCAAAGCAAAACATAACTAAGCAAAGCAAACAAAAATGAAAAGCATAAGGAAACAAAACAAAACAAATCAATTAAAAAAAATACTTTAAACAAAGCAAAACAAACAAAACAAAGCAAATCAATTCAATTAAATTCAAATTTAATTTAAACAAACCAAAGCAAAGCAAACAAAAACAAAGCAAAGAAAACAAAAACAAAACGAAAGCAAAGCAAAAAGCAAAGCAAAGCAAAAAAAGTGTAATGAAACAAAACAAAACAAAACAAACAAAAACCAACAAAACATAAACAAAGCATAAGAAAGAAAAGCTAAACAAAGCAAATGAAACAAAAGCAAGACAAAGCAAACAAAACCAAAACAAAGCACAAGAAAGCAAAGCAAAAAAAAAAAAAAAAGTTGAATAAAGCAAAATAAATCAAAACATAACAAAGCAAAGCAAACAAAACCAAACCAAACAAAAACAAATCATAAGAAAGAAAAGCAAATGAAACAAAAGCAAAACAAAACTAAGACAAAACCGATAAACTGACAAACAAATAAGGAGTTGTCCACACTTGGTTTGAGCCGATATGTTTGACAGACTAATAACCAATTCATCAATTGTCATTCACACATGAAGCCAACGTGGAACGCCGATCGCAAACCGTTCTATTGGCTTTTTTCCGAGCGAGGAAAACATGTCAGTTCTGACTTTATCCATGGGGATTTGGCCAATAAGAGGGCACAAGAGGTCTGACAATAAAGAAAAGAGCTTCAGGGGCAAAGCAAGTTATTCCACACTGGCACAAACATTATGAAGACCAGTTTGATTCCTCTGGAACAACATGAACCGACGAACTGACTTCCCGAGGTCCATCGGGTCGTTCACACACTGACGGACTTGCATGATTTGCATGACAAAGCAACTGGTCATTAGTTTTCATTGAGAGTTTGGACTTTGAACATTATGCAAATCAGCAGTGATGTGATGCAGTGACTGTCAATGGAAATGAAGTCCAGACGTACGTAACTGTGTGTGTTGCTGTGTTAATTAACCAATAACGAGGGCAACCAACAGTGTGTGTGAGTGACTGACCCTGAGCTGTCTCTGTCTCCTGTTTTCAGTCTCCTGAATCTGCTGTTTCAGGAGAACCACAGTCTTCTCCAAATCCTCCATCCCCTCCGATGCCTGACAGAAACACAAACCACTTTCACAAAATGCTATGATTATGAAAGCGTAAACTTTACAAAGATTAGCTCCGTTTCATCACACACATCCAAAGTCCCCTCGGTAGACAGCGAGAATACTGTATAGTGTAGCTCAGGTTCATATAAAAGTGTGAGTATATACTTGGGACTAAATTGGCACACTTTTTAGGTTATACAAATATACTTTTAAGTGTGTCGGTAACAGATCATACATCAAAAGGGCAAAATGGTAACAATTTACAATAAGGTTCATTAGTTAATAACATGAACACACAATGAGCAATACATTTGTCACAGTATTTATTAGTCTTTGTTAATGTTAGTTAATAAAATCCAGCTGTTCATTGTTTGTTCATCACAGTGCATTAACTAATGCTAACAAACACAAACTTTGATTTTAATAACGTATTAGTAGATGTTGAAATTAAGAAGTATTGCTCATTCTTAGTTCATGTTAACTAATGTAGTTAAGTTGCTCTGGCCATTTCACGATCATTTACCGCAATCGCTGTGTGAAAGGCGTTATAGTTTACTCATTGGTCCATAAAATCAGACTAATGGCACACGAATAAACATGTTTTTGGTTTTTGACAAGCTCAGGGAATCATTACAAACACACGTATACTTTTTGTAGGCCAGAAAAACACCTAATATTTGTGTGTACTGGGCATCTTAGAAGTCCTAATACGTCCTAATGCTACTTTTATACTTCATGTGAGAAGCAATAGAGCTAAATTTAAGTTCAGTAGAAGGTATCTGTCGATGTAGGGTTTGGATCAGAGCTAATACATCGCATAAACCGCTAAGACTAGCCTTTTAAGACTTTCAAAAGTCAGTTACATAAAGACATAGATTGGCCTAATTTGGTAACAAAGTAAGACTAATGTGGGTCTAGTCAGAGAACGTTTAATTGACGAGAATTGGCACTGGCTGGTTCTGGACGGGCTGCAGTAACGCGTCTCTGTCCATGCGGGGGCGCTCGCGGTCGAGTGCAGAATGAATGGGAGTCAATGGGGTTTCACCCCCAGAAATCCACTTTTCTCAGGATGTAATTTTTTGTCAAGTAATTTGAAAGTTGCATTCAAAAGGGGAGGGCTGAGATAATACACTGCATTTTTAAGTTCACTTATCTGTTCTAAAAATCCGTTCAAAAATGTGATGACGTCACACAATAGCAGAATGCTAGCGTGTTCCAGCCAACAACGGCCTAACCTGTAAGACATCAAAAGGACATAAGTACTCGTTCATTCGACTTTTGGCCTATAATCTATATTGAACTTGCGGAATCAACAATAAAATCTATTTTGATTTAACGACAAGCAGGTGGAAGAGACACAATTAGCCGTTTAGCCCCATAGACTCCCATTCATTCTGCTCTCGCCCGCAATCACCTCCAGTGGAATTCTAATGAAACTGCAACCAAGATGACAGGCTCTGGTCTAGTGCTAGTGGGTCACACCAGATCTTAACATAATGTTTCAATTTATGCAACTGGCCCCAGGAATCATTCCTAAGCTTGTATATCAGAAAGTTAACTCACTTAACGGTTCAGTAAAAGTGAATCTGTGGAATACCACAGGAAATAAAAGTGAGTAAAGCACGTGTGAGGTGTAAGAGCTGATGCCTTGGCTGCAGAGAGTGTGTGTTCCTGCTGGAAGTGGCTCATGTCTGCGTTGTGTCTGGCCTGAAGTTTCTGCAGCGAGTCCTCATGCTGGTCTCTCATCCTCTCCATCTCAGTCTGCAGGGACACGACCCTGAAGAACACACACAATTCACCACACACCTCTTTGAATTAACATTAACTCTAGTCGAGGCAAGTCACCTTCATTTATATATAGCGCTTTACCAATATAGCTGTTTCAAAGCAGCTTAAGGCCCGTACACACCGGGACGAATATCAGTGCGCGTTATTCGTCAGCGTTTTTTGTGTTCACACCCAAGCGTTTTTCGCCGAGTGAACATGCAAATTCATTCCCTGACATTAGATGGCGCTTAATGTAAAACAGAAATAATAATTGAATACTATACTAGGGTGATCATATTCATGTCTCAATGTTTTATTATGACAGATAGAAAAAAACCCGAATGAAATAATGATAGAAATATTATCTTATGTATTTAGAAAAATAAATAAATAATAAATAACTAAAAGAAATGCCTCCAAATGTTACAAAAAGTAGCTCTCACAAACTTACAAAAACGAACTAACAAAATCTATTTATATCTTTAGTTTTCATCCTCTTTATCTTGTTTTTCTTCCTCGTCCACCTTGTTTGCCCATCTATATTTTGCTGTAGGACTGATCTTTCCCAGCAGTTTTTTTTGAAAACCAGGACATTTCACTTAAAAACAGTCAGGACAGGACGTGGAAGAGATAAAAACATAGCCGTTGTCGGATGAACAGATGCACGAGAGACGAGAGTTGTCGGATTTCCCCGCGTTTAATAAAACCACTCAAACGTCACACTCGTCCTCATACATGGGGATCGAGCAAGAATGAAAACACAAACAAACATCTGGTCACAATAGAAAAATAAAATAAAAGAAAGAATCCAAAGAGTCGGCAGAGCGGTTCTCCTCTCCTCACTTGTCAAAATCGAACTGACATTACGCACACTATGCGCAGTTCTCATCTCAACTCAGATTTCTATAAAGCACAAAGTGACCGTTTTACACATGTCCCGGGAAAACAGGACTGTTGGTCACACTATACTATACTATTATTACAGAAATACTAATATAAATATTAGCTCTTTATGCTCCGAGACCGGCAGCTCAGCATTCATCTTGCCCATCTCTTCTTCGCCGTATGTGTGCTCAAGACCGTTTTGTGTTTGAGCGCCCCCAAGTTGTGTTTTACTGTCACTTCAGAAGTACCAGACACGTGAGCAAACCCGCCAATCTCGTTGGTCGGATAGGTTTTGACGCGGTGCGTCAAACCAAAAAAACAAACCCGAGGCGTTTTTTTTACGCGTGGCGTTTTTCGCGTCGGTGTGCACACTCACATTGGCGCCCATTGTTTAGTCACGAGGCGTTAAACGTCGACGAATATCACGCGCGAAATTCGTCCCGGTGTGAACAGGCCTTTACAGTGATAATAGGAGATTGTTTGGGGTTTACAGCAGCTCTAGAATAAAGTTATTGTCCAGATAAAGCTAGTTTTGATTGATTCACAAGCGTTGACGATGTGCTTTATAGCCTTTATTTCGGTTACATCAAAGCAGGTCGCATCTGAGCATGTCAGGATGTCCCGTACCTGTGGTGGGCCTCTTGTAGCTCAGCGCTGATGGAGGCGATATGAATCTCTAACTGGGCTTTCTCCTGTGTGACCTTCTGCCGAAGCAGGTTCCCGTCCTTCACTTCCACGGAGAGCTGCTTAACCCGTGACTCCAGCTCGTGCACCATCTGCTCCTAGAGGACAGTTCTACAAATGAACCAGCTCATCAAAAAATATCACACACCAAAAAAAGATTCACAGATAACTATCGCTGCAAATAAAAAAAATATTATTATTAACATGACACCGCTCTGACTGAACACTTAGCAGTGTTTGGGGCTCGAGAACGCAAACCTAGAAATAGGTTCCAGGTGCAAGTGTAAAGAAAAAAGGTTACACTATAAGAAACTTCATAGTGATAAACATGAAAATAGTGTGAAAGAAATGTTCAGCTATAATAAAGCAGCTCTACAGAAGACAATTGTGTAATTATTTAGCTTAAAGGGATAGTTCGGCCAAAAATGAAAATCGTTAAAATAATTTTTATGGAAGTCGATGAATAACGTCGACTGTCTGGTTACCAACATTCTTCAAAATATCTTCTTATTAGTTCAACAGAAGAAAGAAATTCATAAAGGTTTGGAACAAAAGATTCACTGATTGCTATCGCTGCAAATTAATAAATAAATTAACACGACACCGCTCTGACTGAACACTTTTACTGTGTTCTGGCCGTTCATCCGCACTACAGCACTGTTTGGGGCTCGAGAACGCAAACCTTGAAATAGGTTCCAGGTGCAAGTGTAAAGAAAAAAGGTTACCCAATATACACAATAGAAGAAACTTCATAGTGATAAACATGAAAATAGTGTGAAACAATTTATGAAACAAATGTTACTGGGATAGTTCAGCCAAAAATTAAAATCGTTAAAATAATTTTTATGGAAGTCGATGAATAACGTCAACTGGCTGGTTACCAACATTTTTTCAAAATATCTTCTTATTAGTTCAACAGAAGAAAGAAATTCATACAGGTTTGGAACAACACGAGGGTAAGTAAATGATGACGTTTTCATTTTTGGGTGAACTGTACCTTTAATTTAGTTCAGTACAAATTTTAAACAAAATGTTATGTTTAAAGTTATTTTGTTTAATGCTTCTACTTGCCACTGATTTTTTTGTTTTTGACTGTAAATAAAATCATAATTAAATAAATAGTGGTTTATGTAGTTAGCTGTTAGTAGTTATTATCACAACCAAAGTGTTTTTCAAAGAGACATTCAGATGGTAGAGTCAGAATTTGGCGTAAACAGAATGAGAACATGGATCCATCATGCCTTGTTACCACTGTGCAGGCTGGTGGTGGTGGTGTAATGGTCTGGGGGATGTGTTCTTGGCACACTTTAGGCCCCTTAGTGCCAATTGGGCATCGTTTAAATGCCACGGCCTACCTGAGCATTGTTTCTGACCATGTCCATCCCTTTATGGCCACCATGACCCCATCTTCTGATAGCTACCTCCAGCAGGATAATGCACCATGTCACAAAGCTCGAATCGTTTCAAATTGTTTTCTTGAACACGACAATGAGTTGACTGTACTAAAATGGCCGCCACAGTCACCAGATCTCAACCCAATAGAGCATCTTTGGGATGTGGTGGAACGGGAGCTTCGTGCCCTGGATGTGCATCCCACAAATCTCCATCAACTGCAAGATGCTATCCTATCAATATGGGCCAACATTTCTAAAGCTTTCAGCACCTTGTTGAAAAGAGCCCGACCGATAAATATTTTGGGGTTTTGAAATCCGATATTCCGATATATCGGCCGATATTTTATTTATTTATTTATTTTTTAAACTGGACATTTTGTCATGCTTATTTGAGTTAAGACAACTGATGGGGATGTTCTTTTAATTGTTATTCAAGCAATGACCAACTCAACGAGAGAGTGCCCTCTGGTGGACAAACTATACCACTCCAACACTCATGACATGGTTCAAGCGTGTTTCGTCCGTTTTTATTTTATTTTTGAAATATTCATTTATCGGCCATTCTACTGCCGATACCGATAGTTCGGAAGATGCCTAACATCGGCCGATAATATCGGTCTGCCGATATATCGGTCTGGCTCTATTGTTGAATCAATGCCACGTAGAATTAAAGCAGTTCTGAAGTCAAAACACAGTATTAGTATGGTGTTCCTAATAATCCTTTAGGTGAGTGTTTATCGGCTATTAATTTTTAAATTTCAAGAAATATCGGTTATCAGTATCGGCCAAAAGTTTCATATCTGTGCATCCCTAAATATGAGTCGCTTGTATCTTGACAAAGTACAGCTTCAAAGTAGCTTCCCAGCAGTGGAGACCTCCCGAATGGGGGATTCTTCTGTAGATGTGATGGTGAAAGTTGAACAGTTCAGTAACAGTGAGCTTAAACCGCCACCGCACCATCCTCATCCCCCTTTCAAATCTGATGCACCTGTGGGCCTCTGTTCTTTAGCACAACCCAGAGCATGCTGGGATTGAATATAAAAAAGGCATGTGAAGCAGACCAGCATTAAAGCATAGCTCAGCCCTCAAAAGAACATCTAGGATCTAGGATGGTCTTCATTTGAAAATGAGACAACCGTATCTGATGAAATACAGGAAGGGGGAAACTTTCCATGGGACAGCAAGAGCTGTTAAACCAAAACCAGACAGCGCTCAGACACACACACACTCGCGTCTCATCGTTAATGGAGGCCACTGTCCCGTGCGTGGCGGCTGGAATGCAGGCTGATATGAACGATGACAGATTATTGATTGAAGATACATAGTTCAGATGATGAAAGTGGCCAGTGTTGAAAAGCACAGCTTTCCGATGGCGACGTCAGTGTCGAAACGCTGGAAAATAGGCCTTTGTTAACTCCCAGTGTGAAATGCGACATGATCTGAAAGAGTACGACTTGTGCAATGACGCACGCTTGTAATTAATACACTGACCCTGACGGCACACGCACATCCAATCATCTGAGCCATTCAACAATCTGCGTAGTTACCCATGTGGAGTGGGGTAAGAAACATAGGTTACACTTTATTTTAAGCTGTCATTGTTACAGTGTAACTATATATTTAAGTACTAATTAACATTAACCAACTACATGTACTTACTATAGGGTGAGGGTAGGATTAGGGTTTGTTGCATGCAATTATGAATAATTGACTGTTATTACTATTAAATGTAACAAAAACCAATTTTTAAACCAATTTAAGCAAACAATAAACAGCTGCTGATGTGACAGATTGAGATTGTGACAATAACGCCCTCTTCCAGGCAAACCCGCAGGTGACATGGGACACGTCTTTATCCTTTCAATCACACATGCCCTCATCTGAGAGCACGTCTCAGTGGCCAGGAGGATGTTCCCTAAAAAAGTGCATTCTCCACCAAAGATTGTATCATCTCTGAGGATACGGATGAATACTCAACCCAAACAAAGAGAAACTAAAAGCATATCTCATTCTCCTTTCAGGCAGACGTATTAGGTGATTTCCAACAAAAATTGTAGGGGTGTAAACATTAATCGATTCGTATCGATTATACAGCCGCCGATACGAGACATCGATGCGTCCACTAGAGAATCTGTTGTCTGTTTTCAGCATCAGCTCCAACAATTCCTAAGCTAACCTCATTGCTGTCTTCTACTTCACACCGCTTCACACATGTTATGTTTCACAGTCTATCTATATCCACACACATTGTTGAGTCTGACTTTCAAATGTGAGGGTACCGTTAGAGCGAGCTGGCAATGAAAGCCCGGTCAGCGTCAAGTCATGGGTGTGGAAGTATTTTGGCTTCAGGAAAACAGATGGAGCAGTGGTAAGAGATGTTGCCGTTTGCAGAAAAGACTGCTATAGTTTACAAAAACGTGAAACTCACCGAGTGGTCTACTGATATGCTCACACAAAAGTCCGACTTGGTACAAAAACTACGATAAAACTTGATTCAAAAAACTCGATTTTTGTGTGAACACCCCAGACCACTAAAAAAACTAAAGTTTAATGCGTTTTATGAATGATTGTTCCACATAGACAACTATTGTGTAGGTGGAGTGCTAACACAGAAACCTAAAATTCTCGGGACATCAGCATTTGTCCAAATTTCAATCTTAACCGTTCTATTTCATCAGAAACGATCTTAAAACAGGGCTTTAATGGTGCGTTCACACCGGACGTGAATAGCGCATCAGGCACGAGTGATATCAATGTTAAGTCAATGCAAAGACGCGTTACATGCCTAAAAAATTCCTGCGGCGCGAATGAGGCGTAGAGCGCATCGCGGTTGACGCGAATACGCCTCATTCGCGCATCAAGTTCGCGTAAATTGCGCGAATTGAGCCTGTGGCACGTTAAGCGCGAATGATTTAGTTAGTGCTATTTGCGCATTCACACGTTTGAGCCGCCCGAGTTGAAAAATCTGAACTTTGGCGTCAATTTGCGCTGCGTTAACCAATCAGGAGCCTAGCTGCTTGCTAGGAATTGGGAAAGTTGTTTTTCTATGGTGTTTTTAAACAACAGGTAAAGTTCCTTGTGTACGTGATCTTTAGTTCTCATCTCAAGGCATCATATACTGACTCCTTTGCCAATGTGTATACATCCAACGCACATGGCACCCTTTAGCGTCAATATGAGACGCAGATATATATGGGCCAGAAGGCGCCTCCTAGTGGTCCAACCCTAATGGTGCGTTCACACCGGACGCGAATAGCGCATCAGGCGTGAATGATTTCAATGTTAAGACAATGCAAAGATGCGTTATGTGCGTAAAAAAAATCCGGCAGTTAAAGCAAATTTGCCTCTTTCGCGCATCAAGTCTTTTGAGCGCAAGCGCATTACGCGCACATATATTAGTTAGTGCTATTTGTGCATTCACGCGTTTCACGCAAATTCGCGTCTGACGCCTGAATTGAAAAATCTGAACTTTGGCGTCAATTCGCGCCGCGTTAACCAATCAGGAGCCTAGCTGCTTGCTCACGTGGTGAAGGATCTGGATGCTTCAATAAATTATTTTGTAATATGACTAAATGCCTGGTAATGCACAGCAAAGCAAATATTTTATCACTTAAAACTTTATTTCTATATACGAGACATGTTCATTTTGTATTGAAAGTTATTTATTCCATATCTAGATTATATGAAATATTATTATGATGTAAAGACAACCAATATACATGTGCATAAGTTCGTGTCTGGACGTGAGAGAGAAAAAAATCACAGGACGGGTTAATAACTTTTGGAGGCTGGCTCTATTTATCATCAAAACAAAAATAAATGACAGATTAGATGGACGAGGGTGAGGGTGATCCTCGTTGCGATGCGGGACAACAGGTCATCAAACTGGCCGCGGGACAGGCGGAAGTACAGCGGTCGTCATCCAGCGCAGCTCCTGGAGCAAATGGTGAAACTCACAAATGGTTCGCCTTCGAAGGGTCCGGTGGACTGAAATACGGCGACGATGATCCCCACGCCGCTGTTCTAGCTCTCCAGAGTAAATACAGAGCGGTGACTCTCTCGATGAATGCTCCATCAACAGAAAAAAAGATGGCCGCCAACGGGTTTCGATTCTGACGTCGGTAAATTTCGCTTCAAACTTTTGTTTTTACGTGCGCTCATCATTTTCGCTCTTGACGCGTGAATGGATTCAACGTGTTCAAGAGTATAACTAGGCGCAAATTTGACGCGCTATTCATGTCTGGTGTAAACGCACAGTAAGTATAAAATACCGAACTAATTCTTTAAGAGAGCCACTCTCTTTCAACTCCAAGAATTCACACACACTCACCAAATCTAGTGGATAGGAAAAGCGTAGCCTAGTCCGATGAGTCCGGTTTTCTGCTCAGAATTTGGCGTAAACAACATGAAAGCATGCCTTGTATCAGCTGTTCTGGTGCTATAATGGTGTGTTATATATATTTCCCAGCACACTTTGAGCCTCTTATTACCAATCAAGCATAGTTTAAACACCAGTCTACCTGAGTATTTTTTGCTGACCATGTCCATCCCTTTATGACCACAGTGTCCTCATCTTCAGATGGATTCTCCCAGCAGGACAACAGGCCATGTCACAAACTCAAATCATCTCAAGCTGGGTTCACCAGTCACCAGCAATTCTCATCCCAAGGCGTCATATAGTGACGCGTTTGCCAATACGTATATACATCCAACACACATGGCACCCTGTAGCGTCAATATAACACGCTTCGGTTATGGGTAGGTTTAGGTCTGGGGTAGGGTTAAGGCCATTGCACACTGAGCACGAAATATTCGTATGCGTATTTTCGTGTTCGTCAGCCTAAAAATTCGTCACGCATAGAAACCTTGCACACCGAGTCTGTTGCGTATTTCTTAAACCTTTGCGGGAAAAAACGCAAAAATACCAAATGGATTTGTCAAGCAGTGAGGATGATTTTTGCCCTCTCTCTTATTGAAAAGAGAAGAAAGAGAAAATATTACGTCCATCCAATCCTGAAATTGCGCCGAGAGGAAGGAGAGTTCCTTATCAAGGAGTTGCGGATCCTGAGCGATTCAAAATTTACCTCAGAATGTCAGTGGGACAGTTCGATGCTTTGCTAGCGATCCTGGAGCCACATATTAAAAACAAGACCACCAATTTCCGTGAACCAATCGATTCTGAACGGAGACTGGCAGTGTGTCTGATATGGACCAGGTATGGACACACACACAATCACACACACACCCGCGCGCGCGGCCCGTTGGAAGCGCTGGGCAGACAGAACAGGCTGTTATTGTGTATATTGTGCCCAAATAATACATTAGTTATCGAATAGGCTGCTCGATCACACCTTATTCGATCCTAAATTTCAATCTGATTGAAAGGGGAGGTTTATTAATTTCATAATCCAATATAGAGAAGAGAACATAAACACTTGATCGAATTGAAAACCGAAACTGAAAGCACGGCGCATATGTGCAATGATTTGAGGACGAGCTCGCCCCCGGCCCTGAATTGTCAAAAGAGCTCTCAAAATGCTGGCTCTGGATGCGAAAAACGCAGAAAATCGAACCCGATCCGATTAATTTTATGACGGACGAAAGTTTCGGAGGCGGTGTGCAAGCGTGACTGACATAACGTGAGGTCGAATTTTTTTTTTAACGTGCGAAAATTTCGGATGCGAATTTCGGACTCGGTGTGCAATGGCCTTTAGGGTTAGACCACTAGGAGGCGCCTTCTGGCCTATATATATCTGCGTCTCATATTGACCCTAAAGGGTGCCATGTGTGTTGGATGTCTACGAGTTGGCAAAAGAGTCAATATGGTGAGTACAGGCTGTCACCAGATCTCAATCCAGTAGAGGAACGCGGGATTCACTTCATGGATGAGCGGCTGATAAATCTGCAGCAACTGCGTGATGCTATCATGACTATATGGACCAAACTGTTGAGCAGAAACCAAGATATGTGTCAACAACAACCTACAAACACAAAGGAACTAAAAAAGATGGTAAAAGATGAAGATGATCCCAAAACATGGAACTAAAAAAGAGTAACTATAGAAAACAAGTGAGGATATAATGAGAAACGTACATCAGATATCCAGGTTATTTTGCAACGTGAAAGTTAGTGATGAGGACACAATTTTGACAATGATGGTTCATTCCCAAAATGTATTTGACCAGCAACCAGCTCTGAACTTTAACCACTCCTTTTAATGTGGACTATGTTAACCCTCAATTTTATAAATCCCTTAAAGGATTAGTTCACTTTTGAAAAAACTTTTGCTGATAATTTACTCACCCCCATGTAGGTGGGTGAGTAAATTAATAACAGTGTTAATAACAGTTTCAATAACAGTTTCAGATGCAGCTTCAAATGTCTTTAAACGACACCAGGCGATGAATAAGGGTCTTATCATGCGAAACGATCGGTTATTTCAAAACTTATTCCAAAAATGTAACTTTTCTAAGGACAAATGCTAGCCATATTCTCTGAGGCGCGTTTGCAACGTCACGTAATGCGTAATTACGTTCCAAAGGTCACGGGCGACGTAGCCGGAAGTACAGAATCAAAATCGTCCGACATCGTTGTTTTTCCTTTTAATTCCTTTTTTTGTAAACGGCGTTTGAGTTAGTTTGCACGTTCAACCTATGCGTTCAACTTGTAAACACTGACTCTGTACTTTCGGCTACGTCGCCCGTGACCTTTTGAACGTAATTACGTATTACGTGACGTTACAAACGCGCCTCACAGAATAGAGCAAGGCATTGTGCATCAAGTGGCTATACTGTTATGATTATAGAGCATATTTGACAAACGGAAGTTGGTGGCTGATCCATCTCTCAGGTAGAGTCATCAATCTCCATTGAGTCCCAAATGTGATGAATATGTATCATGTCATCAATATTAAATGTGTTGCCTCCTCTATTGAGCACTTGGCCACCAATGAGCGCTGGGAATATTACGCAGAGTGAAGGGAAAGAACAGTTCTGACACGCTCCCAAGCGAGCAGCACCCATTGGCGTCCCGATCTCGCCCATCCAGAAGATGTGAACGCTGGCCGATGTGACTCCACGCAGCTTTGAAGAGCTTTTTTGAGAAATAAGGATAGCGTCGGAGTGTGCCACACAAAAGATTGATGAAAGAACGAAAGACAAACAAAGGCTTTCAAAGGCTAGAGTATTGAGACATCAAACGCAAAGTAGAAACAACACACAGCATCTCACCTCAAGCTGACATATTGACAACAGCAGCCTATGAGGAGAGAAGAGGTAAGACAAGAGGTTGCTGAGGTCAGCCTAAACCAACAGGACGGGAGAACCTAATTTCCAATGACAGAGGGGCCTTTCATCTGGGGCCCTGCCTGGAAATGTGCTGTGTTTAATTATTAAAGAAGGGTCATACTCTGTGGGGTCGGCATGCATTTGAAGTCTCGTAAATTCGGGCCTGCTGACAGGCCGTGTGCCTTTACCTGTATGACAGCCGCTGAATGCTAATTTGTAACAAGCTAAACTCATTAGGCCTCAGTCGAGGTCTGACGCGCGCCCCGGCTCATCTTGGCCAGAGCGCCACACAGTGCTCCAGTCACGAGTGGGACGACTTCAACCCGAGCATATAAGGAAGGCACACACAAGACCACGTTTACAAGGTGAGAGAAGAGGAGGAAAGAGACGCACCTCTACACAAAACACGAATGCAGACGAGGATGATTGGTCCAATGCTTTACAAGTAGGTCAAGTCAAGTCACCTTTATTAATCCGAATAAATTCTCGAATTATGTTGTACTTTAAAATCTTGAAATAACGATATTCATTTAAATTGCTCTTATCCATACTAGCCTAGCCCAGAAGAGAAGCATACCGCCAATCCAAACTGTCTGCTAAATGTCAATCGTATTTGGTCCTGACAGAACTGGTCGTATGTATCTCAAAGCCACATCATGTTTCCATTGAACCGTGTTGAAGTGTGTGTGAGTGCACTCACAGTGGCCTGGTTCTGGCCGCTGTACTCGGCCTCCATCTTGGCGAGCCGTTGGTTGGTGTCCTCCAGCAGCTTCTGGATGTTGTCTGTGTGCTGCTTCTGCATCTCAGACTTCTCCTGTTCCATCTCTGCCACCGCAGCATGAAACTGTGAACCAATCGTAAAATAGAGCTCAGCACAAGAGATCCAGGAATGGGGAAAAAAGGCGCCCATTCAAGAAAATAAACTTTTCAAGACCCTGAAATCCTTAACGTAGTTCACTTTTGAAAAAAAACTTAAACTTAAAAAAAATTTAAAAAATTAAAAAAAATACTCACCCCCATGTCATCCAAGATGTCCATGTCTTTCTTTCTTCAGTCGAAAAGAAATTAAGGTTTTTGATGAAAACATTCCAGGATTTTCTCCATATAATGGACTTCAATGGGAACCAAACGGTTCAAGGTCCAAAAGACAGTTTCAGTGCAAACTACAAACTGTTCAAAGGGCTTTAAATGATTCCAGACGATGAATAAGGGTCTTATCAATCGAAACTTTAATTTAAACTAAAAAAATAAATAAATAAAGTTATATACAAAGTTTATAAGCTCAAATGCTCTCATTGCTCTGTTCTGTGATGCGCGTTCGTGACTCTCCTGTTCGAACTCGTTCGTCAAAATGAACAAATCTTTTTCCAAGTCATTTGGTTCAATCAACGAACGAAACGAACAAATTCACTCAGTCACGAACGCGCATCACAGAACAGAGCAAGGCGAGCATTTGAGCTTATAAAACTTAAACTTTGTTATTTATTTATTAAATGTGTGGTTGTTTCGCTTGATAAGACTCAAGAATTCATCGTCTGGAATCGTTTAAAGCCCTTTGAACAGTTTGCACTGAAACTGTCATTCGGACCTTGGACCGTTTGGTTCCCATTGAAGTCCATTATATGGAGAAAAATGCTGAAATGTTTTCATCAAAAACCTTAATTTCTTTTCGACTGAAGAAAGAAAGACATGGACATCTTGGATGACATGGGGGTGAGGAAATTATCAGCAAGTTTTTTGAAAAGTGAACTACTCCTTTAAGCAGTTGGGGTATGCTAGTGTGATTTCAAGTATGAAGAAAACTGTCACTAAAAAACAGTGAGTGATCATTGTTGCACTCTGTAATCCCCACTGTCCACTGGATACAAAACCAAATTATGTTAAACTGGCGACATTTGGTGCTCTCCGGTCACTTTTGACCAAAAACTTTAATGTTTAGTTTTTTTTTTGTTTTGTTTTTTTTTACTTCAATGGAATGGTACGAAACTTGGTAAAGGTTTTGGCACTTGCTATGTGTACACACAAAACAAATCATGGACATGATACAAACAGAATAAATGGTCCTAAAAAAAATAATCACACTTGTGCTCCTCGCAGTCAAAAATGAGCGCATTGGAAATAAATGGGTGATGAATTTCATCTAGTGGAAGCATTTGGTACTGCAGCAAAACTAAATCTGACTGGGAATTTTTGGAGAATCAAGCTCAAATTTGTTAAGATTGATGGCTTTGCTTGCAGTTTTAGAGTGAAACTTGATTTTAAAACAATAAATAAATATTTTATAAAAACAATGTATTGTATTTTTGTATTTAAAACTTGTCTCACTTTAGCAATAATGTCATCTCTGAAAAGAAATAAAACTTCAGTCTGTCTTAAGTTGGAAATTTAATTTCCAGGTCTATGCGCAAAAAGTGTGCATTTATAAATACAGTGTAAATATAATGAAGTACCATAAAATCCCCTAAAAATACAAAGTATTAAATCAAATAATAATAATTCTGTAATTTTTGACCGACACACGAAGAGCCCCAGAAGGTTAAATCAGCACAATTCCCAATAATGTCCATTGTGTCAAAAGAAAACTAAATGTTTAAAGCTTATGGGACATAAAAACAGATAATTAGCACTCCTAAGACGATCTCACGTTGCCATCTGGCCTTCCTTATAGTTGAGCCCCGAACACGAGGCCTACAGAATCTTACGTTTAGAAACAGAGAACAAAGAGAATGTTTTATAAGGCCTGAAGCAAGATAGCCTTCAACCGAAAGCCTGAATAAAGGCAGGGTCGGATTCTCCAGGAAAAAAAAGATTGAACTTGTGAGTTTTTCTTTTCTATCTCTGCAATAAACACACACCTACTGAGCACTCAGAAGAAGATGGATTTTTGAGATTCTTTCTCAGACTCGGACAGGATTGGCTGAGCTCTAAAACTCACTGAGTGTTCAGTGTTCAAAGGCGGGACAGGCCTGTGGAAACCTGAGCCTTTTCAACCCTTCCTTACCTTCTTCTCCCATTCGTTTTTCAGAGATTCAGCACTTTGATCAGACATTTTCTTCAGCTCGATGATCTGTTTCTCTTTGGTCTGTCGGATGACCTGGGACTCTCGCAGCAGGCTTTGAACTACAGGGGGGGGGAAGAGAGAGAGAGAGAGGTAGACACAAACATTCAGGCCTCTCTCGGTCTTCTCCAACCCCAGGCCTCCCTCAAAGCACCACTCTTCTGGACTCAAAAATAATACAAAGTTTTTAAAAAGTACAAACAATAGGAATGAAAACCGCAACAGATATCTCGGTGTTAAATGAGTTAAGGAGGAGTGTATTACAGCAGCAAGCCATAAAAGGTTAGTTGTGTGAGGGACACATTTTAACATTTTAGCTAGTGTTGGTAATTAAAATAAAAACGAGTAACACTTTATTTTGATGGTCAACTACCTATCATTAGAGTTTCAGTAGACTCGCTGCTTAATATCTGCCAACTCATTATTGGGATGATCCTCCAACAGACATTATACTGACTTTGCAAGTACATGTCAACTTATTCTAACCCTAACCCTACTAATAGTCCACTAATACTCTAATGAGAGTTAGTAGACATGTTCTAGTCAACAGAATGTGTTAACGGGACCATCAAAAGAAAGTGAAACCCAAAGCTGTAACGTACACAGCTGTTCCTGACGTTACCAAGAACCCTTAGTTTAGTTTATGCCTGACATCATCCACTTTACTTTTCAGGAATGTCATCATTAAAGGCCGCCTGAAATCAAAATGTACGTTTTTTAGCATTTAGCCTATGTTAGCCTTAAGGTTATGAATCAGCTGGTGTGCTCCAAAACAATGACAAAATTCACATTTAGGAGATTCGAAACGTACAGTCTCTCACTTCCGCTAAAATGGATCAGGGATTTTCAACGCATTCTCATCCTTTAGTGTGTTATGTGACGCTACATGACAAAACGGCGCTATACTACACACACGGCACCCGTTATCGTTAATATAACACACGCTGTGATGGTTAGGTTTAGGTGTGGGGTAGAGTAGAGTAGTCTCATATTATGCTAAAGGATTTATGACGACTTGGGTTTGCGTATTATATTAACGATAAAGGGTGCTATGTGCGTAGTATAGCGCCATTTTGTCATATAGCGTTCTATGTGACGCTAAAGGATGAGAACGGGCTGGGATTTTATGACTTCGGCTTCTCATCACATCTTCTGTCCAATCAAACGCACTCTATAATCTGAAGCTCCGCCCCCTCAGCTATAAACACCTTCTGGCCGAAACGAGCGTTGACACACAGAGCAACATGGGTTGGAGTGTGTGTTCGGTTGCTCAAACGCTCCAGTTTTACTCGGTTAAGTTGGTTAAGAACGCTAGCGTATCATCAGCGCTTGGATTGGCTTCCATGGTGCCGTCAAGTACGACTGCAGTCTGAAAGGAAACTAAACGCTATTGGCTGTTTGAAAAGGGGGAGGAGCCATTCAATATGCCCCGCCTCAGCTCCTGTTTCAGTGTAAATGACGTCAACGCATCAAACAAAGCTGCCCGATCCAAGGCACTTCAGTGGGACTTCAATAAAGAATCATTTGACTGAAGAGTTCTCTCAATAAATCATTTTGGCAGATACTAGGTCAAAGGCCACAAAAATAAAGACTGACCGACTCTAAAGTCTTAAAGATAAAGCCTTTTTGTGTGCAAGTGTGATTCATGCTGTAATACAAGCCTGTTTACAAGGTGCAGCTTTTGTTGGGTTCTCGTTTAAATGTTTTAAGGGCCGTTTCATTATTATTTTAGATTATGAGCTCACCTCTCTTCTCCAGCCTCCGAACCGTCTCCTCCGCCTCCTTCTGCTTCCCTCGATACATGCTCTTCAGCTCATCAATCTCACCGTTCTTACGGTCCAAAATCTGACAAAATACACACAAACCAGAATTAAAGGAGTAGTTCACTTTTGCTGATGATTTACTCCTTAAAAAGGGCACCTATTATGCCCCTTTTTACAAGATGTAATATTGGTCTCGGGTGTCCCCAGAATGTATTTGTGAAGTTTCAGCTCAAAATAACCCATAGTTAATTTATTATAACAATTTGAAAAAGTCATTTTTGGGGCCTGTTTAAAAATGAGCTGTTTTGGTGTATACGACCTTAAATGCAAATGAGCTGCATATCCCCGCCCTGCCTTTGGATGAGGGCGTAACTTGATACCTATGACAGTCGGTAAGCAGAAAGGCTGAGAGAGTGAGAGACGCGCTGTTTTGAATGTCATTCAGCTGTACCCATGTTTGAATGGGAATACATAAATAGTCTCTGATCAGACCCAGATGACGAAGAGACCAAAATTTATCGATTTTTAGAACCGTATCTTTCTCGTTATGTTTATCGCTATCATCTTTGGTGTGAACGGGCCTTTATACATTTCTCCGAAGACTGTGACTGGTGTTGTGCATGGTTGTCATGGTGTTGCTGTGCAGTTGCTAAGGTGTCGGAAGTGGTTGTTAGGCTGCTGTGATTATTGTGTGATATCTGGTCTCTAGGTCCCTTCTTCTGTGTTATTCTGTGGGGTTCATTGATCTATGAGGTGAAAATTAAAATAAACAGAACACAAATGACTAATTATGACACAAATAGTGCGTGACGAGCTCCTAGATTTAAAGTTTGGGGTTTGGGGGCATCATAAGTCGGACCTCGTAAGGGCATCAGTTCACTGGTAGAGGATCCAAGACCTTAAAGGGCTGTTTTTGGCATTAATGATTCTGAATGAATCTATCGAGTAAATGATTCAACGACTCACTCATTATACACTAATTTAATGGTGTAATGATGTGACCTACAAAGGGGGGTCACTAAACGAACCAGTGGAAGATTCTGAATGGTTCTTTTTGGTTCAAAAGAGTCACTTTGGATGAATCAAAATCTTTTTTTTTTTTATCCTTGGCCTCGGTCACTTGGTGAGACAGATCACTCTGATTGGCCTTTAGATTAGTGATCCGGTGAATGTGAAGAAAGCAGGCAATCAATGAAATCAAGAGGGAACATATGAACTTCAAAACATTCATATTTTTAAAACGACATGGCCTTCAGGAATGAAGCGTGAACGAAGTGAAGACCAACTCATCAATATGATTCATATTCAAAATCGAAAAAGCTTTGTTTACGATTTGTATATTCGCAGTCTTAGTTTCATTTTTGAATGATGAATACACACTACTGCCACCTGGTGGTATGGAGAGTTATTCTATCTCACAAAGGCTGAAAACGCACATGCTAGTTGGCGACACTGTGTTCAAGCGACACTTTTTGGCGCCAACATAGCAAGCTTTCGTCCGCAAACGTTTTTTGATGTTGGTTTGATGTGTCATAGCCTTTAGATGTTTGTTCAGATCACCAACTCTAAGCATGAGCAATAGCGATAGTGATACTTGCATTAGCAAAACAACACTGCAAACAAGCAGCATTCGTGACACTGAGACGACAGATGACAGAACGTTTATGTTCCAGACTTTCCAGCTAATCTAAGAGCCATAAATACATTTCAGTGGGAACAGAGTTTAAATAGAGGTTTGTGGTGCTTCCATATGACAAGCTAATGCTGGCTGCAGATTACAGAGGATAATGTTCTTATTCACAAGCATGACCATGAAGGAACTCGCCCTCTCCTGCGTCACTGAATGCTGGAATTTGCTGCTTTGAAGCCGACATTTAAAGGATGGAGGGGGGGCCAGATCCCAATTTTTGGCCCTTTCCTCAGCAAAGGCTTTTTGCTTAAGTATATTATCTGTAACAGTAGCGTAAGCTTAAAGCAGCGGATGACAAACATCTCGCATTATGCTGTGGGAAGGAAGACCACTCCAGGAGACACACACACATGACCCCACTGACAAGAACCAAACAAATCATTCTCTTCTGTGCATTGACATATTTTTTGCGCGCTGAAGTCTCTCCATTTGGCTTCGGTTGCTTCTCCCCGAGTATAGTGTGAGCAAATAGCATGTCATTAGCATACATTAGCATATGAATAGCATATCGACTGTTGGACCTGCTGAATGTATACGCCCTTCACTGAACAAGTCTATGGTAAAAGAGTCTGAATGACTTGAAGCAGTCCTGAATGGACTGGCACTTGTTCGCGAACAAACTAAACAAACTGGGACATGGCATTTGTGAATGTACTGAATGAACAAGGTATTTCATCTGCTGACCAACAGTGATTGAATGAAAGGGGGCATTTGATCGTTCAGTTCAGTATGTGAATCACTCTCTTCAACAATAAGAGAAGAAGGAGTAGTCAATTTTATGGCTGTGTAAAAATAACGTATACTACATGCAATTAAATAGAGTTCACTTCTGAATTAAAATTTCCTGATAATTTTCATCCACGTCATCCAAGATGTCCATGTCTTTCTTTCTTCTGTCGAAAAGAAATGAAGGTTTTTGATGAAAACATTCCAGGATTTTCTCCATATAATGGACTACATTGGGAACCAAACGGTTCAAGGTCCAAAAGACAGTTTCAGTGCAAACTGTTCAAAGGGCTTTAAACGATTCCAGACGATGAATAAGGGTCTCATTTAATAAATAAATAACAAAGTTTAAGTTTTATAAGCTCAAATGCTCACCTTGCTCTGTTCTGTGATGCACGTTTGTGTTCAAACTTGTTCATCAAAATGAACGAACCTTTTTCCGAGTTGTTTGGTTCATTCAACGAACGAAAGAATTGACTCAGAAAAAGATTTGTTAATTTTGATGAACTTTGTTATTTATTTATTAAATGAGCGATCGTTTCGCTTGATAAGACCCTTATTCATCGTCTGGTATCGTTTAAAGCCCTTTGAACAGTTTGCACTGAAACTGTCTTTTGGACCTTAAACCGTTTGGTTCCCAATGTAGTCCATTATATGGAGAAAAATCCTGGAATGTTTTCATCAAAAACCTTAATTTCGTTTCGACTGAAGAAAGAAAGACATGGACATCTTGGATGGCATGGGGGTGAGTCAATTATCAGCAAAAGTTTTTCTAAAAGTGAACTACGCATTTAAAGGGCTGTTTTTTGTCATTTAACGATTCTGAATGAATTTATCGAGTAAATGATTCAACGACTCACTCATAATACACCAAAACACACTAATTGCTGGTATAACGATATAAACTACAAAGGGGGTCACTAAACGAACCAGTGGAAGATTCCGAATGATCATTTGTGGTTCAAAAGAATCACTCTGAATGAATTCAAATCTACAGCACTACTCGCAAGCATGTTCAACAGCAAAAGAGGCCAAATGAATATGCAAAATAGACATGCAAAAAGAAAAATGGATAAAAGGAAACGGACTGATCTTTGCACCGAAAACAGCGTTACGTATTCCTTTTGATGCGTCTCAGGAGCACGTCGAGCGTTAACATTGCAGGCTCTGTGAAGCATGAATGAGCGCTGCCAGTATCTGAGAGGACTCGAGCCTCAGACTGGAGGAACTCACTCATGACCTTGTCCCTCATCTCTCAAAGACCTCTACGGTGGGCTCCCAGACTCCAACGGACCGGTTCTGCGAGTCCTCAACAATCCGCCCATTGTGCGACACAGTGCGGGCTTTTGATGAACCCAAGGAATTCAGAAATCCTTTGTGGCGGGGAGGGACGGAGCCAAGCGTAACCCGTATTTAGCGAGCTCCAAATAAACAGCAGATCTGCTGGGCTTGTTCCCAGTCTTGAGCTGAGGGTGATAAGATGCCTGGGCTCAAGGTGGGGCATTTCAGAAATGTGTTTTATCTGATGCGGTTTGGCCGTTTGTTGGGACCGCTGTAAGTCCTTTGATGGCCTGACCTTCTGCAAGCCGCCTGTGTCCGAGTGGGAGTTCAAAGACTGTCGGCCATTGTCTCAGTGAGGGTGGACGACAGCGTCACAACCAGGGGTCTGTAAATCTCAAAGGACCCTATGGAGATCAACGGCTCGGAGGACATGACGGGGCACACGAGAGCCAGCCCACCAACGGACAGCACTGCATGTGTGTGTGTGTGTGTTCTGTTTATAGGGTCTTCAAAGAAAGATGCACCTGAGCAAATATTGACATTCTCAGAACAGACTCTTTCAGAACCAAACAACAGCGCTCATTAAGAGCAAAGCGGACACAATGACAGACCAAGAGTTCATGTAACGTTGAACACAAAGAATCGGTGAATTAATGAGTTCAAGATCCAGAGGAAGCTATTGAGGTTACTTCGCTCCCAGTCCACACTGGAGAAACGAAACAAGAATAGCCCCTATTTACAGAAGCGCTCTCTGAGGTCGGGGGAGATGGTCTCGACTCTCATGAGGCCTGATAGACCTTATTCACAGCAGAGACATCTTTGATTTGTAACGGGAATGAAAGCCCTTAATGGTATGGCCTTAAGGTAGCCAATGATGTGTTGGTTTTAAGTCACATGACATTTGGATGTCCCTCCAAAACTCTCTTTCCCTCTATTACCATTGAAGTGCTCTGGAAAATACTCGTTTAACCTCATTTCTAAACATCTCTTCTCAAGGGAGATTTATTTTTGCAGCATCTTTGATAAGTTAATTATATATTTTATGCACAAATCAACTTTGTCTAGCTTAGTTTTACTGTAAATTGAGACAATATCAATGTTTTCAAATGATAACGCTGTACCACGGTGGGATTGCAGTAATGTATTTCCCAATTGAGATTTTTTTTATAGATAGTAGAATCAACAATATGATTGGAGTTATTTATTTATTTCAAGTGTTTATCGTAGTGTAGTTGTATTTATTTATAAATAACAAACTTGATTTCTTCGTTTCAGAAAATGAACACAGCAACAGAAATTTTACGGAAAGAGCAAAAGTGAGGGATTGAATGATAGGGATCTACTTATTTTTTGGTTTGCATGAGTTTCAAGTATATAAATTTGGGCTGGTCAACGATTAATCGCGATTAATCGCATCCAAAATAAAAGTTTGTGTTTACATAATATATGTGAGTGTAGTGATTAATCGCGAATAATCGCATCCAAAATAAAAGTTTGTGTTTACATAATATATGTCTGTAGTGATTAATCGCGATTAATCGCATCCAAAATAAAAGTTTGTGTTTACATAATATATGTGAGTGTAGTGATTAATCGCGAATAATCGCATCCAAAATAAAAGTTTGTGTTTACATAATATATGTCTGTAGTGATTAATAGCGATTAATCGCATCCAAAATAAAAGTTTGTGTTTACATAATATATGTGTGTGGTGATTAATCGCGATTAATCGCATCCAAAATAAAAGTTTGTGTTTACATAATATGTGTGTGTAGTGATTAATCGCGATTAATCGCATCCAAAATAAAAGTTTGTGTTTACATAATATATGTCTGTAGTGATTAATCGCGATTAATCGCATCCAAAATAAAAGTTTGTGTTTACATAATATATGTGTGTGGTGATTAATCGCGATTAATCGCATCCAAAATAAAAGTTTGTGTTTACATAATATGTGTGTAGTGATTAATCGCGATTAATCGCATCCAAAATAAAAGTTTGTGTTTACATAATATATGTAGTGATTAATCGCGATTGATCGCATCCAAAATAAAAGTTTGTTTACATAATATATGTAGTGATTATTTGCGATTAATCGCATCCAAAATAAAAGTTTGTGTTTACATAATATATGTAGTGATTAATCGCGATTAATCACATCCAAAATAAAAGTTTGTGTTTACATAATATATGTAGTGATTAATCGCGATTAATCGCATCCAAAATAAAAGTTTGTTTACATAATATATGTGTGTGTGTGGTGATTTATCGCGATTAATCGTATCCAAAATAAAAGTTTGTGTTTACATAATATATGTGTGTGTACTGTGTATAATTATTATAAATATATACATGCATGTGTGTGGTATTTATATACAAAATAATTATACGCACTACACACACATATTATTTAAACACAAACTTTTATTCTGGATGCAATTAATCGCGATCAATCACTACACACACTATGTAAACACAAACTTTTATTTTGGATGCGATTAATCGCGATTAATCGTTGCCCAGCACTAATATAAATCTATCAATTTCTAAAAGAAATGTGCAATCAAATAGAAACGAAAATCATAATTTTTTAGAAAAACTACTTTTTTGACCATTTTCTGTTGTGGTACCCCGCCCCACCAAAAAACTTGTCACCAATCTTTTTTTTTTTTATTTGTATGATTGACGCTATTTCATGTTATAAAAACGTATATGTATATATATATATATATATATATATATATATATATATTGTTCCTCTGACAAAACACTGCAAAATATCTTTCAACATAAATGAGCGGTCAATATACTACGAGCTGTGGAAAATAATACGTTTTATACAGCTTCACTTTACGGCTTATGCCATTGAAAACACAGCAAGTGTATCCCTCACAGCCTCACTTTCATACCTGTCATGGCGCTACTCTGAATAAGGTCTAATACAAAAGTGTTCAGGGAAGAGAGGTTGGGTATCACAGGCGAAAGGACCATTTCAGAGCTGGCTTTTCCTTTAAACACCAAAAGCAACTTCATTCAAACCAAACATGCCTCCCAAATGTTATTATTCCCTCCATCTGAAAAGTCAGCGAGGCCCTCAGTGGATTATTTATCCTGCTAAACAAGAATAGCCCTAATCAACAACAGCTCTTATTTACAGAGGTACTCTCTGAGGTTGGGGGGTGACGGTCTCTCATAATGTCTAATAGAACAGTGTTCACTGAAGAAATGTTGGGAATAGCATCATTTCAGAGCTGGTTTTTCCTTCAAACACGGACGCAACTTCGTTCAAAACCGAAAATGCCTCCCAAAAGTTATTATTTTTCTCTCTGTGAAAATTCGACGAGGCCATCAGTGGATTATTTATCCTGCTTTTTGTCCATCAGAAGTGCACTCTGTTGCTAAGCTCATCATCCAGTGAGACGGCGGCCTGTGAAAGATGAAAGCTCGCGCCCAAGAGCGAGGGAAAGACGAGGTTAAAGGGAAGTTCCCGGAACATTTAGGGACACACAATTTCCCCATCGTCTCCTTAAAGAGCTCTTTCGGACACCTGCAGTCGTAACAGAGTGCCGAGGACGAGGTCCAGGGGCCGATGGGCTTTTAGGGATGACATGAAAGACAACAGCCTGCCAAGCATCATGTTACGCCTTATAAAGGCTGGTGACATACAAACATCTGTAAACCCGGTTCATTTAATAGGCTTTACTGACGCAGAATGTCACTGGGAATGACGGAAACATACAGTAAAGGTGGAAGTCACAGACAGAACATGCCAGTTTTTAAGTTTCAGAAATATAACTAGTAAGACATCTTATGCATTAAGCAAACTGAGATGGACTTTGAGTTTCAAACATGGATTGTGGATCTATTTTTCTTGTGTTTGAATACACGTTGTTAATACAGAGGTCGCGTTAGACTTCCCCAATTTCCATCATTTTGACACAGGGTTGTAAAAATGATGTCATAATTAGGGCTGTCAAACGACTAATCGCGATTAATCGCATCCAAAATAAAAGTTTGTGTTTACATAATATATGTGTGTGTGTACTGTGTATAATTATTTTATATATATAAACACACACACATGCTTGTATATATTTGAGAAATATTTTCATACTGTATACAGATTTATATATATAATTTATATTATATATAAATATAAATATTTCATATATAAACAATATTTTTTTTTTCTTAAATATACAAACTTTTATTTTGGATGCAATTAATCGTTTGACAGCCCTAGTCATAATCTATTATTATTACCCGTCATTTTAATTTTCATATTTTAATGATAATTACCCTCTATGATAATGGGCTCTGTTTTTGAATGTTTGTCCAATAAATCGCAATAAACCTTTTTACTTTTAATTTGAAACAAGGTCTCAGCTTTCAAATTCTGTCCACTTTATCACACAATTTAAACAATAAACACAGATTTGATGCTCTTTAATGTGGCAGGAGAGACGATATGATGACGGGGAGTAACTTTAATTTTGGGGCAAAGTATTTGAAGGAATATTTGACAGGTCGTCGATTAACAGAAGAGTTCACCTTCTGGATCTCGGCATCATGTTTCTGCTGCATCCTCAGTGTATCCTCCTGATGTTTGGCCTCCAAGACTTTAGTCCTCAGCTCAACCTACAAATCAACAACAGATCCAATGACACAATGACAACATTCCCCTGTTGTTTGTGTAGTGGTAATGGATGTGTAATGGTTTATTGCACCAAAAGCACAATTTAAAAAAATGAACATTGGCCTTAGCATGGTAATGAAGAGCCATTAATGGTCTCACCTGTAATTAACTAATTCTAGAGTTAAAATTTACAACTATGTTACTTTTTCAAAAGCCCAAGTTTAAGTTAGAATCAAGAGTTTTAAAATTATGGATTTTCTTGAGTTATTGACTAAACAATTGATTTTCCCCATCATGTGCTCGGATAATAATGACAGCTATTAGGAAAAACCTGGAAATTAACATGTTCATTATAATAACACTTAAGGCAAATGATTTAAGTACAAATTCTGTCAAACTGATAAGGTTTAATGAGCTGAAAATAATATAAAATACATGAAAAGTTGGTTAATTACATAACTGCATGTGGATGATACCACAAAAGACCATTTTGTAAAAAAGAGAAATAAATAAACAAACAAACAAACAAACAAACAAAAAAGATTGAAAAAAATGAGGGATAAGCGATTAATCGCATCCAAAATAAAAGTTTGTGTTTACATAATATATGTGGGTGCACTGTGTATAATTATTTTATATATATAAATACAACACATGCATGTAATTATTAAGAAAAAAAAATATTTATTTATAAAATATTTGTATTTATAATATATAAATCATATATAAATATATATACAGTATATGCATGAAAATATTTTTTTAAAATATATACAAGCATGTGTGTGTATTTATATATATATAATAATTATACACAGTGCACCCACATATATTATGTAAACACAAACTTTTATTTTGGATGCGATTAATCGCGATTAGTCGTTTGACAGCCCTAAATTATATATATATATAATTATATATATATATATATATATTTCAAATAAAACAATGAAAATACCCTGAATTTAAATGTGACATGTCTCCCCAGATAGGAACAAATTTAATGTATTCTTCCATAATTTTGTGACTATTATGAAAATTTCCACTATTATAATATATATAATATATATATATATATATATGTATAAAAAGGCCTTTTCAGATTTTCCAGAAAGTTTGAAAACAGTTCTAGAAAGTGCTACTT